AAAATTCCACTAGGGGTCTGTGCATAAAAATAATAAAACAACTCTTTGTGGCTCTGCCATCCAAAGAGAGGAAGAAAGAAAGAAAGAAAAGGAAAAAGAAAAGAAAGTATTTCATTGTTGCTTTGCAAAGACAATGAATTCTTCATGCACAGGTTTTCCCCATGTCTCATTTATTTAATTTCTCGATTAATATGTCCCAATTTACTTATTTTAATTCCTTAATTAATTATGGCCCTGGCCACAGTGCTTATCCTACAGCACCACACCAAGACTCCAATATTTTCCTGATGCACACAGAATACAGAGGTAGTAAGGCACAATCTTTTTTTTTTCTCAAGGACCCCAAAACTATCAGCCAATCAGTTGCTGTCAAGTTGATTCCAACTCATGGAGACCTCTGTGTTTCAAAGTAGAACCATTGCCTGCGTTTTCAATGATTGTGATCTTTCGGAAGTAGATCTCAGGACTTTCTTTCCATGGTGCCCCTGGTGAATTAGAACCGTCAACCTCACGGACACCCCAATATACTCTAAACATGGATCTAAGGAAGATCGACTTTATATACAAAACTTGAGTTTATAGCCTCAAAGGTTATCTTGAGTAACTAGGATATTTTCCCTAACAACTATATCTTCCTTCTTGTCCTTCACCATTGGACTCTGGAGGTTTTGTTGACCTCCTAGATCCTCCTTTGTGATTATAGTTGTTACTGTTATTTGAGCTAAAAATCTCATAAGCAAATGCCATTTTAAAAATTTATTTCACAAGCCTTGTTTACATTTTAGTAGCTAAAACATTCAAAATGTAGGTGGTATCCGTGTTTCTAATAAAGTATCTTATTTTTATGCTTACATTCTCTTGACAAGAGACATTTCTAACTCAGTTTTCCTGGTTAATGTTCAGGTGTTATTATTAAAGAATTTGCAGACCTTGACTGACTTGCTTGATTGTGAACTTAAAACTTTGGGAATGAACACCAAATAAGTCTGGTGGTTGTTCTTAAGTGCCTTCCACTCAGTTCTGACTCATAGCGACCCTATATAGGGTTTCCAAGTCCTGGTGTGGCACTGTGGGTTAATGCAAACTTGGTGTGAACCACAAGGTTGGCGGTTCAAGCTCACCAGCTGCTCTTTGAAAACCCTATGCAGGCTTGCTATGGATCAGAAGTGACTCGACAGCACTTAACAACAGTAACAATTGGGTTTCTGAGGCTTTTTAAAAAGTCTTTGTGGGAGCAGAAAGCTTCATCTCTCTCCCTTGGAATGGCTAATGGGTTTGAACCACTGACCTTTTGGTTCACAGCCCAGTGTTTATCCTATGAAGCCACCGTGCAAGTCTTACACACACACACACACACACACACACACACACACACACACTCCACCATAAAGCTAAACTCTCACGAATTAACTAACACTTTCAGCTTGCAATTTGCTTTTGGAGTGATGAGTTTCAGAATTATTTTGGGATTGGAAAAAAATAGACAAACTATGAAAAAGTAATAAATACCTATTTTGGAAGGTAATGCTTTTTTGTGCATACCATGCATTTATTTCTCCTATTCTTAAAGGTCGTCTCTTGAAAATTAAAGTTTCAGTTTCACATAGTTTGTTTAGTCAGTTGGATGTTTTCCTTTTGGTTCAGGTGTTTCATTGTACACTGTTCTAACAGTTGCTGTAGAGTCAGTGCCAAACCATGGAGAACGCGGGTATGTCGGAGTAGACCTGTGCTCCATAGGGTTTTAAATGACTGATGCTTAGGAAATAGGTCTTTCTTTCAGGGTGTCTGTCAGTAGACTTGAACCTGCAACCTTTCTTAATGAGCAACTGAGCTCATTAACCATTGGCACCTCCCAGGGGCTCCTTATTGGTCCGGAGAGTGTGTTAACTCAAAAGAATTCTTTCCAACTGAGTGACATATGACCTAGTTACTGTTATAAAAGGGCAATTCGTGCTGCAGAGTAGGCAACAGAACGCATTCAACTTTCCATTTCCTTCCTACCTAGTGCAGACAGAAGACTACCCACGGGTTGCTCAAGTGTCAATAACCAAGTGTGGCTCCAACATGGAAGGATACTGTTTGCATGGACAGTGCATCTACCTGGTGGACATGAATGAACATTACTGCAAGTAATATGCCACCTTCTTGAAAAAAAGAATTTTTTACAATGCCTATTTTTTTCTCTTTGATCCTTAGAAGTTATCCTATACTTCCATGGGCTGTTAGAATGCAGTTTCTGTGTATCACTGAAAACTGGATCAACTGTGTTTTTCAAATGAGGAAACAAATAGACTCAATAGTAAACATACTTCAAGTGTACAGAATGGGGAGGATTTCACTTGTCTCCAACCCACATGGACATCTCTGTCAATGGAGTTCTGTCTAAGACATTGTTTAAGCAAAAAAAAAAACCCAAACATACAAAATTTACACAAGACACTATTCTAGATTGTTGGCCACCCTGGAAACGGAACCAGACCTTTTTTTAAGCCACACTACATGAGTCTATTATAGCCTGAGGGCTAATGGAACTCTTTGATTAATGTTGTTCCAGCTCCTAAGTCACTCTTTGAATTCATTCTTACAAAAAAAGGGTAAACCTTTTATTGCAATGTGAAATTAATTCTTAAAAAACTAATTTATAATCATGACTCCCCTACCCCCATAAGTAATAGTTTTTTCTCTTCCATTTTCCTTTAGGTGTGAAGTGGGATACACTGGTGTCCGATGTGAACACTTCTTTTTAACCGTCCGCCAGCCATTGAGCAAAGAATATGTGGCTTTAACTGTGATTCTTACTATCTTTTTTCTTGTCATAGTTGCAGGTTCCATGTTCTACTTTTGCAGATGGTAAGACTCTACCTACAAATTACTTTCGCATATCTTTCATGCAGAAAGAGACAGCCATACATAAGGACAAAGTATTATTTAGAGCAAAAATGTAATCTGCACTGATAACAGGTGTTTCAGAGACAGAGTGTTGTTGTTGTTGTTAGGTGCCATTGAATTGGTACCGACCCTATACACAGCAGAATGAAACAGAATAACAACATTTAATTCTATTACTAGTTTGAGTACTTATTATCTGTGTTACCTTAATGCAAATCAAACTTAGAATCTCAGTTCATTCATTAAAATAAATTTTAAAAGATAAAAAGTGTTCTCTTTATTATAGGACTATATTTAGTATAGAATATGATAATGTGCATGAAATTAAATCAGAAACATGATGCTAATGTTATAGTAAGCTGCCTGTATTTAATTTATTAATATTGAATTTTGTCACCTATCACCTGTCTGTCAATTTGTCACGCTGTGGTGGCTTGTATGTTACTGTGATGACAGAAATGATGCCACTTATATTTCAGATATCAACAGGATATTTGGACCTGTCCTTAGTGGACAGATTTTAGTGGACCTTTCAGACCAAGACAGTCTAGGAAAATAGGCCTTGAAATCCACTCCCAAAAATTAGCCAATGAAAACATTAAGGATAACAATGGAACACTGTTTGATATAGTGCTGGGAAGATCAGTCCCTATAAAAAGACATCATGTTCAATAAAATGTTGTTGTTAAGTGTCATCAAGTCTGTTTTGACCCAAAGTGAAACCATATAGAGTTTCCAAGGAGCAACTGGCCAACTTGAACTGCCACCCTTGCAGTTCAAATCGGCTTTGCAGTCCAGCTCATTAACCCACATTGCTATTGTTGTTGTTAAGTACCGTGGAGTCGGTTCTGACTCATAGTGACCCTGAACAGGGTTTCTGAGGCGTAAATCTTTATGGGAGCAGAAAGCCTCATCTTTTTCCCACAGAACAGCTAGTAGTTTCGAACTGCTGACCTTGAGATTAGCAGCCGAATTCGTAACCACTCAGCTACCACAGTGCCGTAGGGCCAGTAACAACAAAGAAAGCCTTCAGTGAGATGGATTGATGCAATAGCCACAACAATATGCTGAAACACATCAAAGATCATGAAGATGGTAAAAGATTGGGCAATATCTCATTCTATTATACATAAGGTTGCCATGAGCTGCACACAACACAATGGCAATTAACAACTAATTTGTATTACATAAAACTGTGTAACTCAATAGCCCCAGGTGCTCAAGAACTTAAAATTTAAAGCAGAGATGGCACAGTGGTTAAACACTTGGATGCCAACTGAAAATTGGCATCCATGCTTTTAACTGACCACTCTGCAGGAGAAAGATGTAGCAGTCTGCTACCATGGAATTTGCAGCATTATGTGACTGTTCTACTCTGTTGCATAGCATTGCTATGAGTCGGAATTGACTTGAAGGCACACAACAAGTATAGAAAATTACGCAACTTAGTTGTTGAAAAGTGGTTCATGTCAACTCCCCTAAACAGTCATATTCCAGCTTCATGTGCAATACTATCACTATGCTGATAATTGAAAAGAACAAAATAAATAAGAGAATGACCATTGGAATTGAGAGTTTGTCATACTGGCTGGCAGGTTCTTAGGGTTCTGAAAGGCCATGGGAACACAGTGTGCATTATTTAATAATAGTTGCCTTTAAAATGTCTACATAAAATACTTATTTTGAAACTGGTAATAGGTGTTCAGTGTAGATTTGGATGCTTTTCACCCCCAAGAAATGGTACACTTATACTTTTGATTGTCTGAAAGTGTACTATTATTATAAGTGTACTACTGGTGTGGTGCTATAGATTAATGTGCTGGACTGCACAGTCAGTTTGAATTGCAAGGTTGGCTGTTCAAGCTCACCAGCCAATCCTTGGAAACCCTACATAGGGTCGCTATAGGTCAGAACTGACCCAACAGTACTTAACAACAGCAACAACATCTATTAAATTTGGAGTCCTGGTGTGGTGCTGTAGGTTTATGCACTAAACTGCAAAGTTGGTTTGAACCACAAGGTCTGCAGTTCAAGCTCATCATCTGCTCCTTGGAAACCCTATACAGGCTCGCTATGGGTCAGAACAGATTCAATAACACTTAACAACGATTAAATTTATTTTGCCCATATTTGAGTCTAAGCATTTATCAACTTAATAATATCTTCTTGATTGGTTATAGTCACAAACTAGCTATTATTAAAACTAAAATACATTTGAAATTATTTGACTACAATCTTTTCCTTCATAGATTGGGAAACTGAGAGATAGGTCAACTAACATTCGTCAGGTCATAGAGCTGACAAGTGGCTAAATAGAAGTGTAGGCATTATAGAATTTCCTCAAGGCCACGTGCTTCATTTTCTAAATGATGAAACAAAATCCAGAATATCAGGAGCATAGCTTAAGAAATGGTAGCAATGAAGATTTTGAGTTTTGATAGATCTATGCTAAATCTTAGCTATGAGACCTTGGGTGGGTTACTTAACTCATTTATACTTTACTTTCTTCATATGTAAAATGAAAATAATAATGGTAAATGGAAGAATAAAATGAATAATGCATGTATAACATTTAGCACATTGTGAGTGTCCAATAAATACTAACATTTTAATTTTGATGGCTGATAACATTATATAAACATGATAGGCAAAAAATAGTAAGGTGGTGTTTCTTAATCTAGTACACTAGATAAGATACTGGCACTTGGTTGCTATTGTGAAATGATGTCGAGTCAACTCTGACTCACAGAGACCCTGTGTAGGGTTTCCGAGGAGAAACTGATGGGTTTGAAGTGCCGACTTTTCAGTAAGCAATCCAGTGCTTTTCCTACAGCACCACACCAGTTCCTTAGATAGTAGCAAAATGAAGAGAGAAAGAGAGGGAAAGGAGTTAAGATGAAAGAGAAAAGTAAGGGGAAAGACAAAGCCATGTTTAAGTATAATTACATGTCATTCTTGTAAGCTTCACAGTATTCATGTTCATGGTAAAGTCTCTGAGAAGTCTTGCAGTCAATATGTTCTTTTAACTGTGTTTCACTATTTTCTTCCAGAATGACTTGATCATGGGCCATATCCCTTTCAAACCCAAAGCCTATTGCCATCAAGTCAATTCAGACTCACAGTGATGCAGAGTAGAATGGCCCCAGTGAGTTTCCAGGCAGACTGCCACAGCTTTCGCCCATAGAAAGTCTGATACATTCGAATCACCAACTTGTTGATTAGCATCTGAGTGTTTAACCACTTTACACAAACACTCTCTCACTCCCTACTGTTTATTCCTTGGTCAATCTAAATTTATTCACGTTTGTCAATTTGGGAATAGTATGCTAATATATCTTTTGAGTCCATGTATCTGTTTTATTAGTTAATGCATTTAGCTCTTATGTACAAACAGTACTGACAGTTTGATTTCTGATTATTTCCAGGTACAGAAACCATAAAAGTAAAGAACCAAAGAGAGAATATGAAAGAGTGACTTCAGGGGATCCAGCATCACCCCAAGTCTGAGTGGTGCCATCAAGCTTATAGGCAACAACGCACAGCATGCCTGGCTAATTTTAATGCTCTTATTTTATTAATAATATTTATGTTGGATTATGTGTCAGATAAACAGTGTTCTATTTTTAAGATATTGGAAATATTTTTTTATTTTTCTTTTATTTTTGACCGACTGTTTGCTAATATATAATGTACACACACTGTTTAATAAAAGAAAATTGATATTTTTGTAAAAAAAAAAAATCATTTCCTGGGCTAAATGCTTATTGAAAGCCTCATAGGTTATACTTTTTGAGGAGGCTTTTAAAAAGTTTGTAAAAAAATGAAATTGTGATAATGGAATTTTTCCACAAAAGTTCTGAAGCCCCACTTGTGGCAACTGCACAGTGATTTTTGCTTATGAGTTAGCCATGCCCAAGTCCTTGCTTAGGAAACGTCAGCAAATGACAAATTTCTGTAAACCTAAATACAATAGTCAAATCGATTTAATAGATGTATTTTCCTTTCTTTTTCAAAACAATGATAATTGGTTTGACTCTTTCATAGTTTGATGTATTGGTTAGCATTACTGTGTCATGCATTAGAAAATATTGCAATGGGAATTGAGGAGAATCAAGCACAAGTCCTGTGCTGACCACTACATATTTGAAACAAACTAAGGCAAGGAATCATGAAGATAACACATGTTCAGGCAGTGTTTTGTTCTGTTACATATCAGGTCTCCCTCCATAAGTTACAATTGACTCTATGACAACTGACAGCAACAACTGAGGAAAGATAAGCTCCCTTGACCCACGTCCTCAGCAATAACTCCCCGTGTATCTGCCTGGAGAAGTGTGCAGTTCCTTAAGCTATTCTACCATTCCTGTCACCCATGTACCAGATTTTCTTTAAGTAAAAGGAATTGGAAAACTTAATTTATATTGTCTTTTATGTAAATAGTGGGTATTTTATAGCTTTGCATTCTTCCTTTTTTGTTGTTTTCATATAGTACAACATTCTACATGAGTTAATTGTTGCTCATGAAGCAATTCGAAAAAAAAAATCTGTAAGTGAAATCAAAATTTGTGCTTCTTTTTAGAGAATTTTCTTTGGAACTTGGCTAAAGAATTCTAATATTGAATCTTAGTCCAAAATTTGATGGACTATTCATAATATATTTAAGTATATTCGGACAATGTTCTACAGTGTCTAGGGATAGAGATCCAGTTCTTTCGTTTTCTGTGCAAGAGAGTTTAAAATTAAAATCAACTTAGCAAATGATTTTCACTAGAATTCAATATTCGATATTTAAAATATTGTCTTAAATACAGGGAGCAGAGAAAATAGGGTGGGAAGTCATAGTGTAAGAGCAAACCAATTCGCAAGGTTTTAAAGTGCAGAGACTTAACCACACCTTGCTATGAAGGCTGAGATGAAACCAGTATCCTTCCCCCATTGTTTGCTTATATTTTGGAAGAGACTAAGGAGTCTTCTGCGCCCTGAGCCCAAAGGTCTCTATGAATTAATAAGAGTACTCTGGGAACTGCAATAGGAGTCATAGCTGTCACCACCTCCTGATCTCATGCTAAACTGCCTCATGGAATGCTAAACCTTTGGGGAGAGTCTCTCTGGATCACATACCAGGTCAGGGAGGACCTGTTCTTCCTCCACCTTTTTTTCCTGGCACGTGCTAGGGCAACAAAGAAATAATGAGCCATGGCTGACCTCTGGAGTGTGAGGTGCCCAGACTAGCCCCCATTTACATCCATGCATGATAGTTTCTGTGTGTTCATGTGACTCTCATTCAAATGACTGAGTCTGGCCCTTTACATATAGGGAAACACACTAGACACAAATACACACATGCACACACAAGGGTAAGTAAAATATATTGCTACTAAGGTTCCAATTCCTATATACATGTTTGTTTGTTTCTCTCCAAACAAAACATGCTTAAACGTGTCTTGTGATCAGTAGACAACTGCAGACAAGTTCTTTCAGTAATACACCTGTGTTAGACTCTCAAAGGTGCCTTCCAAAACAATGTCCAATGAAAACAAGAGATTCCCAGGTAATCTACTGAGCTAGTTCAATTCAAGGCAAAGAGATCAGCTCAGAAGTTATAGTGACTGCTTTCAGAGATTCCAAAGGGGTAATGTTGGTACATTTTCTCAAAGGACACAGGGTGATCACAGCGGCTTATTAGGAAGAAGTTTTAAGAAAAGTGAAAACAACATTGAGTCAAAGCAATGAGAAATATGAATGTGGTGCTCTGGTATGACTATGTCATAACACAGTTTTTAGTTCTGAAACCTTGAGAAGAGTTAACCAAATTCAGCTGTTATCATTCATAAGCAGCAAATTCATGATACTAATGTCTAAAGTGTCTAATGCTGTTGAATTCAATAATGCAATTTTTAAGAGTTCTGTCTGATTCACTTTGTCATTATTATTCCAATGTCATTCTGTAGATTTGAAAAACAAATTGTTTAATTTGCTGTCCATTATTTTCTGATATTTTCTACTGTCTTTCATGTAGGAGAAATGGGATTTATAACTTGTATAAACATTGTTTCTGGAGTACATTTTAATGTTCTAACTCGACAATAATTTTATCTAAAACAGTTGTTATTCAAATAAGATGATGTTAAATGTAAGACAGTACAGTTTTTTCTTTGCATTTTTGCACTCTGTCATTGCACTTTTTAAGTTTGAAGAGCCATTTTAGTATACAATTTATATTAAAGATGCTATGGAACATAAAGTTGTATTGCATGCAGTTTAAAGCAACTTCTTTGATTATGAATTTTATCAGAGTACTGAATTGTATCAATTTGTTCATGTTCAATATCAGCTTTGATAATCGTGTACCTTAAGATACTGAAGGAGAATATTGATAATTTATAGCCTACTATTAATTTTTATTTATTTTGATGGGAACTAGAAAGAGTATTATTGAAAAATATAAATGCCGTAAGCATCATGCATAAAAAATTCTCACTGAGAAGTATAGTCTCTGTAAAAAATCTGGTTTTGCTTATTTTTTCATAATTCATTTGAGAAATTATAAGTAACAAAAGTTACGATGTGTTTTAAAAATGAAAAATAAAGATAAAATGGTCTTGGTAAGGAAAAGCATTATATAAATATATCACATTATTTTCTGTCTTACTGTAATGAATAATTTTAAAAAATAAAAGCACATTATTTATAAAATTCTAAGTCTTAGTGTTTTACAGTTACAAACGAACAGAACCCTATTAAAAAGCAGATTTAAAAAGGACACAGTAGTCTCAAGAATGCCAAACAAGAGGCTTAGTTTCCCAGAGTAAACAGAAAGCATTGTTGTTGTTAAGTACTGTGGAGTCAGTTCTGACTCATAACGACCCTACACAGAGTTTCTGAGGCTGTAAATCTTTACGGGAACAAAATGCCACATCTTTCTTCCACGAAACAGCTGATAGTTTCAAACTGCTGACCTGCAGTTGGCAGCCAGATTCATAGCCACGATGCTACCAGAGCTCCTTAAACAGAAAGCATTTGTCCCTCTGAACCCCTATCACAGTAATGCTTCTACAACCTATGGAATACTTTACCTATTTATTAACTCTTTGGATCCTTTCATTTTCCCATAAATAGGGAAGGCAGTCCTAACTATGATCATTTTACAGGGAGGCTAAGTAATTTGCCCAGGATTACATTGGTAGCAAAAGAAGGAACTGGCATGAAAAATAAGATTTTCTAACCCATGGTATCATTAAAGTTCTAAAACTGTGAGGATTTCATCTGAGATAGAGGTTTTTTTTTTTTTTTTTTTTTTCTTACATAAATATGTTGTTGTTGTTGTTAAGTGCCGTCAAGTCAATTCTGACCCATAGTGACCCTGTATAGGGTTTCCAAGGAGCAGCTGGTGAGCTTGAACCACCGACCTTGTGGTCCAAACGACTTTGCAGTCTGTCGCATTAGCCCACAACACCACATAGGAATATAGATAGACATAAAATTCATTCCCAGTGTGTTGTTATTGTTAAGTTCTGTTGATTGGGTTCCAACTTGTAGCAATTCTATGCACAACAGAATGAAATACAGCCCGGCTTTGTGATATTCTCACAATTATTGTTACACTTGAGCCTATGGCTGCTACCACTGTGCCAATCCATCTATCTCACTTGGGGTGGGGGCTGGGGGTTCCTCTTTTTCGCTGACCCTTCATTGTATACTTGAGGGTCTCAAAGTAGACTCTATCTTAAAGACATGGATAAAGCTATCAAAACTCTTATTTGCTGATGTGGCATGCCTTAAAATAAGAAACAGATGCATCCACTAGCAATCAAAATGTGGAATATATGAAGTATGAATCTAAGATAATTTAGAAGTTTCCAAAAATGAAGTGGAACATATAAATATTGATATTATAGGCATTTTTATTGTTATTAAATGCCATTGAGTTAGTTCTGACTCATAGTGACCCTGTATAGAGTTTCCAGTGAGAGGCTGGTGGGTTTGAACCACAGACCTTGCAGTTAGTAGTCCAGTGCTTACCCTATACTGTATACCAGGACTTCATACTAGGCATTAGTGAGCTGGAAATGGACTAATATTGACCATTTCAAATTGGACAATGCCAATCTACTGTGCCAGGAATGATGAATTGAATAGGCATGGTGTCACATTCATCACAAAAATAATATTTCAATCATACCAATGACAGGATAATATTCATACACTGAGAGACAAAACCAGTTAATTAAAAGATTTACGCACCAACCGCAAGATGAAAACGGTGTGATAGAATTTTACAAAAGCAATGACGTCTTCATTGCAAATATCATTTTTCAACAAAGTAAATAGTGACTATACAAGTGAACTGGACTAGATAAAATGCACAGGAATCAAGCAGGCTACATCTATGAAGACAGACAACAGCATATATAGAACAAGACCAGGAGCTAACTTCAGAACAGACAATTAATTACTCAGATGCAAGTTCAAATTGAAGCTCAAGAAAGTTAAAGCAAGTTCACAAG